AGGTGGAAGTAAAGGACTCCTCAGCAAATGTACAAGAATTGAGAAATTGTAACAAACTGTCCCTCAGACCACAGTGCAATCAAACTAGAACTCAGGACTAAGAAACTCAATCAAAGCCACTCAACTACATGGAAACTGAACAACCTGCTCCTGAATGACTACTGGGTACATAAGAAAATGAAGGCAGAAATAAAGATGTTCTTTGAAACCAATGAGAACAAGATACAACATACCAGAATCTCTGGGACACATTTAAAGCAGTGTGTAGAGGGAAATTTATAGCACTAAATGCCCACAAGAGAAAGCAGGAAAGATCTAAAATTGACACTCTAACATCATGATTAAAAGCACTAGAGAAGCAAGAGCAAACACATTCGAAAGCTAGCAGAAGGCAAGAAATAACTAAGATCAGAGCAGAACTGAAGGAGGTAGAAACACAAAAACCCTCCAAAAAATCAATGAATCTGGGAGTTGGTTTTGAAAAGTCAACAAAATTGACAGACCACTAGCAAGACTAATAAAGAAAAAAGAAGAATCAAATTGACGCAATAAAAAATGATAAGGGGATATCACCACCGACCCCACAGAAATACAAACCACCATCAGAGAATACTATAAACACCTCTATGCAAATAAACTGGAAAATCTAGAAGAAATGGATAATTTCTGAACCTTACCTCTTCCAAGACTAAACCAGGAAAAGAGTTGAATCCTGAATAGGCCAATAGCAGGCTCTGGAGAATTGGGGCAATAATTAATAGCCTACCAACAAAAAAGTCCAGGACCAGATGGATTCACAGCGATTCTACAGAGAGTACAAGGAGGAGCTGGTACCATTCCTTCAGAAACTATTCCAATCAATAGAAAAAGAGAGAATCCTCCCTAACTCATTTATGAGGCCAACATCATCCTGATACCAAGCCTGGCAGAGACACAACAAAAAAAAGAGAATTTTAGACCAATATCCTTAATGAACATCGATGCAAAAATCCTCAATAAAATACTGGCAAACCCAGTTCAGCAACACATTAAAAAGCTTATCCACCATGATCCAAAGTGACCATCCCTGGGATAAGGCTGATTCAACTTATTCATAAAATCAATAAACATAATCCAGCATATAAACAGAACCAAAGACAAGAACCACATGATTATCTCAATAGATGCACAAAAGGCTTTTGACAAAATTCAACAGCCCTTCATGCTAAAGACGCTCAATAAATTCGGTATTGATGGAGCGTGCCACAAAATAATAAGAGCTATTTATGTCAAACCAGCCAATATCATACTGAATGGGCAAAAACTGGAAAAATTCCCTTTGAAAACTAGCACAAGACAGGGATGCCCTCTCTCACCACTTCTATTCAACATGGCTAGTGGAAGTTCTGGCTAGAGGGCAATCGAGGCAAGAGAAAGAAATCAAGAGGGGATTCAGTTAGGAAAAGAAGAAGTCAAATTGTCCCTGTTTGCAGATGACATGATTGTTTATTTAGAAAACCCATTAATACCAGCCCAAAATCTCCTTAAGCTTGTAAGCAACTTCAGCAAAGTCTCAGGATACAAAATTAATGTGCAAAAATCACAAGCATTCTTATACACCTGTAACAGACAAACAGAGAGCCAAATCATGAATGAACTTCCATTCACAATTGCTTCAAAGACAATCAAATACCTAGGAATCCAACTTACAAGGGATGTAAAGGACCTCTTCAAGGAGGACTACAAACCACTGTAATTGAAATAAAAGAGGACACAAACAATGGAAGAAACATACCATGCTCATGGATAGGAAGAATCAATATCGTGAAAATGGCCATACTGCCCAAGGTAATTTATAGATTCAATGCCATCCCCATCAAGCTACCAATGAGTTTCTTCACAGAATTGGAAAAAACTGCTTTAAAGTTCATATGGAACCCATGAGCCCGAATCTCCAAGACAATCCTAAGTCAAAAGAACAAAGCTGGAGGCATCATGCTACCTGACTTCAAACTATACTACAAGGCTACAGTAACCAAAACAGCATGGTACTGGTACCAAAACATAGATATAGACCAATGGAACAGAACAGAGTCCTCAGAAATAATACCACACATCTACAGCCATCTGATCTTTGGTAAACCTGAGAGAAACAAGAAATGGGGAAAAGGATTCCTATTTAATAAATAGTGCTGGAAAATTGGCTAGCCATAAGTAGCTGAAACTGTGGATCCTTTCCCTTACTCCTTATACGAAAATTAATTCAAGATGGATTAGAGACTTAAATGTTAGACCTAATACCATAAAAATCCTAGAGGAGAACCTAGGTAGTACCATTCAGGACACTTAAATGGGCAAGACTTCATGTCTAAAACACCAAAACAATGGCAGCAATAGCCATTATTAATCCTGGGATCTCGACAAGCTAAAGAGCTTCTGCACAGCAAAGAGCTGCCATCCGGAGGTGGACAGGCAGCCTGCAGGATGGGAAGGTGCAATCTGCTCATCTGACAAAGGGCTAATATCCTGAACCTACAAAGAACTCAAACAAATTTACAAGAAAAAAACAAACAACCCCATCAAAAAGACATCGAGATATGAACAGACATTTCTCAAAAGACATTCATACAGCCAACAGATTTACATGAAAAAGATGCTCATCATCACTGGCCATCAGAGAAATGCAAATCAAAACCACAATGAGATACCATCTCACACCAGTTAGAATGACAATCATTAAAAAGTCAGGAAACAACAGGTGCTGGAGAGGATGTGGAGAAATAGGAACACTTTTACTGTTGGTGGGATTGTAAACTAGTTCAACCATTATGGAAAACGGTATGGCGATTCCTCAAGGATCTAGAACTAGAAGTACCATATGACCCAGCCATCCCATTACTGGGTATATACTCAAAGGATTATAAATCATGCTGCTATAAAGACACATGCTCACGTATGTTTATTGCGGCACTATTCACAATAGCAAAGACTTGGAATCAACCCAAATGTCCATCAGAAGTAATAGACTGGATTAAGAAAATGTGGCACATATACCATGGAATACTATGCAGCCATAAAAAGGATGAGTTTGTGTCCTTTGTAGGGACATGGATGCAGCTAGGCTCATCATTCTTGTAAACTATCACAGAACAGAAAACCCGACGCATGTTCTCACTCATAGGTGGGAACTGAACAATGAGATCCCACTTGGACTCGGGATGGGGAACATCACACACCAGGGCCTATCATGGGGAGGGGAGGGAGGGACTGCAGGGGAACATCACACACCAGGGCCTATCATGGGGAGGGGGGAGGGGGGAGGGACTGCACTGGGAGTTATACCTGATGTAAATGACGAGTTGATGGGTGCTGACGAGTTGATGGGTGCAGCACAGCAACATGGCACAAGTATACATATGAACGTTATGAACATGTACCCTAGAACTTAAAGTATAATAATAAAAATTAAAAAAAAAATAAAATAAAATAAATAAAAAAATAAAATAAAATAAAAAAATAAAAACCATTATTTTTTACTTTCATAATTTAGCCCAGGTGCCTAACACATTGACTAGAATTGCTCCTAAATGAATGTTAGCTGAACAAATGAATAAATGAACTTTCTGAACCAAAAAAAAAAAAAAAAAGAAATACCCACTTCCTTTTCATCTCTCATTCTTCTCTATTCTTGTGGAACATAGAGTCCTTAACCAGGCCATGCATATGATACCTGCGTGCCTATATGCAGTTTGTTTGTTTAGTCTAGAATGCTCCTTATGTGTATGGTCATCTCCATTTGGAGCATGTCTTCCTTAAAGCCTTTGCTGGCCATTTCTTTCTTTGTGCAACTGAGGCAGTTTCCTTTTGTCCACACTATACCTAACTCATAGTGACTTTCAACATGGTACCAGGGACTCTTCATTGCCCATATGTGATTACATTACTGAATTTTTGGAAGGCAGAGTTTGTTGTCATATTTTCCCTTCTTTTTTTAAAAAATATATTCCAGAGCTAAGGGCTTTGCATAGTCTGTGGTGTTTACTAGATGCTTGTGAATGCTGGGTTTTGTTCTGCGTTACATAGCTATAAGTGGAGAAAAGGATTTTTCATTCCTTCTTTACACTTCTTAGCACAACTTTCAAGAAATCCAGGGAGACTTAAACCATTTTATTACTTGCACCCAGAATTCTGAAAAATTAAGAAATAAAGGAACAAAAATGTCTTTTTTTCAATCCAGTTATTTAATTTGTGACTATATCTTGATAATATTTCTGGTTTTATTTTTGGAAATCCTTTCAAAAGTCTTAATTAGAAACTTTTGTTCCACAGTTCCCTCCTCATCCCATGACTTTGTTGATTAGCCCACCTCCTTAGCTATAAACATCTGTGTCTTGAGCAATTTGGTCCCAGTCATAGCACGACAAAACACAACTTGAAAAGAATACTGGTCTTTGTAACAGGTTACATCATGGACTGTAGAACACTTGAATATTGGATGGCTCCTCCCAAAATGCTTAGCTTAGGGAAATAGAGTAGAATATAGTTACTCCGTATCTGCAGGGGAAAAGAAAGGCCAAGATAAATATTTTCCCTCACTTAGACACAGCAATAATGTAATTTGAGACCATCTGACTTTTGATACTTAAGTTAAAGAAAAAGACTCATTTTATTATTTCATTTATTAAACTGCAAAATATATTTTACCAAAATTTATTATTGAAACAAATTTCATGGTTATCCTTGACCTACTGTAATTCTCTTTTAAAATTTGTATTTGAGCAAAGTTATAGTTTCTTATCCAAAAGCAGACTTTTATTTCTTGGATCCATTTTTCTGTTATCTTAATAATTGGTTTTTAGACAAGGCCCTTATGCTTTGATTTATTCTTTCTGAAAAGTTATCAGTATTACTAAAGATTAGCCATTGTTTACTCCAGTTAATAAATTTTCATTAAATTGCACTAAAATTAGTTTCTATGTAAATAATTAACCTAGTGAAAATTGTTTTTCACTTGAAAACAGAATGGCATTGAAGAACTTGATGGTGTCCTTACATCCATATTCAAACATGAGATACCGTATTATGAATTCCAATCTCTTCAAACTGAAACTTGCTCTCAAAACAAATGTGAGTATTTTCCAGCTGCATCAATTATTTTTTATATCACATTCCATTCTATGTAACTGTTTAATAAATTTTATAACCAAAAATATAGGTAGCTCCTCTGCCGATGAGATAATTTAGACAACTCCTGACTCCTAGTGAAAGGGTACATTAGTACAAACTTCTGAATGTTCGTTTGGTAATTTTTTTTTAATCTCAGGCCTTAAAAATGCACATAACTTTTGCAATTAACAAGCCTACTTCTTGACTTTTACTCTAAGGAAATGTTTGGGCAACTTCATTTATGATAAAAATTATTCATCATATAATTGTTTATAATAACCAAAAAGTGGAAATACTTTACAAAGACAAGTAATTGATTATACCTATTTTCATACATCTATTAATGCAACCACCAGAAATTAATATTATTATGAATTTATTTGCTTGCCGGGGTGATGTTTTGATGTATACTTACATGAATAAAAGGAAGGCTATGTAGCAGAGAGAGTGTGATCATCTGTGTAAAAAAGTACATGTACATTTAGCAGCATATGGTCTGGACAGGTGTGCAGCTAGTGTTCACAGTAGTTGTGTTTGGGTTGTGCAATTTCAAATATTACATCTTGTTTCATCTTATTGAATCTGTATTTTCTACAACAACTATGTATTATATATGTGGTTAAAAATATACGGATATCAAGAAAAGTATATATAGGAGCTATACATGAAAAATTATATTTCCAGATGTCATCTTGAGCTCAGTATTGTATTTTAGAACTTTTTTTTTGTTCCTGCGTAGTTTGACATACTGTTTATAATTCATTTATATGCCGGCTATGTGTGAAACACTAAAGTAGAGATGTAATGGTGAATATGACAGACATGAAGCTAAAGAATATGATAAGTCTAATGTTGACATACTAAAAATTAATGAGCAAGGTTTTATTTTCTGTAGGGTTTCTGTGCTATTTAAAGCAGTTTTTTCATCAGCCTGGAAGGCTTCAAGACAGCAGTAAGAAAAGAGTAGGAGTCCCAAGGCACAGCTTCTTGTGATTCACCTAGATATGTAAGAAGCTGCATAATGGTGAGGTTCCGTTAGGAAGAAAAGCCAGTGGTATGCTAGCTGTGAATAAGTACTGTTGTGAAATTAGTGACATTTTATTTTTGTTTCCAATATATATTTTAACAATATGTAATTCACTTACAAAACTAAATACTAGATGAGAATGGAAAAGGAACATGATATGATTCTTTACATACAACACATAGTTTAACTGGAGAAACAAATAATAGACATGTATTTACAGGAAAAATCAATGAGATAAACTTTGTGGTAGTGATTATATTAACAATAGAATTTTAGATAAATGGTACATTATTTTTCAGGGTGTGCTTCAAAAAGGAAGTGGAATTTTACCTAGGTCTTAAATAATTGTAGTCACCAAAAGAATGAAAATAATCTTCTGAAGATAGATAATTGATTATGTAAATTTTGGTGCATCTATTAATACAACCAGCAGAAATTAATGTTATTGGAAATGTATTTGCTGGCTTGAATGATGTTCCAAAGTATACTTAATTGAATAAAAAGCAAGCTGGGTAACAGGTTAGTTCTATTTGGAAATTATCTCAAAAGTCTTAATTAGGAACTTTTGTTCCACAAACCACTCCTCACCTCATGGCTTTATTAACTGACCCATCTCCTCATCTCCTATAATTGTTTGTATCTTGAGAAATTTGATCCTAATCACAACCTTCATTCAAGCTAGGGAACCGATGAAGACAGAGAAAGGAGAAAGGAATTCTAGGCAAGAGAAAGTGCATACAATGGTATGAAGATGGAATTATGACACAGTTTTACAAATTTCCTCAGCATTATATTTGCTTAGGCTTTTGGAATCGAAATTATGGAGATGGAGAAGATGGCATGGTTTTGGTCTCTTGGTTTTACACATAAAGAATTCTAGATAAGGTTAAAACTGCCTCTCAGTATACTGTTTAGGTTGTGGAATATGAATTTTAGAGCTAAAAAAGCTGAGACAATTGTGGCCCTTTATTTTTATAGATGGAGAACTCTGGATGGGTTATATCAGAGCCCCTGAAAATGTGAATCTGGTTCAGCAGGGATGGGGTACATTCTAAGTGTTTGCCTTTTAAGAAGCTTCCAGGTGAAGCTGATGCTGCTATACCTCAGACCTCTCACTAGATACCAAGAGTTTAGAGCAATTGTTCTCAAACTTCGCTGCATATTGTAATCACCTGTGTAGCTTTTGAACCATCCTATTCCCAAGCCATACCCTAAACCAATTTATTAATCTGGGAGTAGGTCCCAGCCATCAATAGTTTTTAAAGTTTCCCAGGTGATTTTAATGGGCAGTCAAATTTACTAGCCCCTAATTGCTTCAATGTACTACAGACCAGCAAGATAATTCTTCCTTATATTGAATTTTGACACAGAAAAAAAAATTACCCTCTCTTTACAAATGTTATAAAGATAATAGTATATGAAAGTTTTGAACCATCACTATAATTTAATGATAATTTTGTATCTGAAAAAAATTACAAAATTAAAAAAAATTTTAAAGCTAAAAATGAAAAGTTTACTGTAATCCAGATAGCTCATTCAGAAGCATTATTGCTGGGTATTATTGCATGACAGATGTTATAAAACCTATATATAACAGAGCCAAAGAATCTCCATAACATTAAGCTCTAATTTCTAATTAAAATACAAAATACCGTAATATATGTAATAAGAATATGCAATGGCCGGGCGCGGTGGCTCAAGCCTGTAATCCCAGCACTTTGGGAGGCCGAGACGGGCGGATCACGAGGTCAGGAGATCGAGACCATCCTGGCTAACACAGTGAAACCCCGTCTCTACTAAAAAAAAAAACACAAAAAACTAGCCGGGCGAGGTGGCGGGCGCCTGTAGTCCCCGCTACTCGGGAGGCTGAGGCAGGAGAATGGCGTAAACCCGGGAGGCGGAGCTTGCAGTGAGCTGAGATCCGGCCACTGCACTCCAGCCCGGGTGACAGAGCAAGACTCCGTCTGAAAAAAAAAAAAAAAAAAAAAAAAAAAAGGAATATGCAATAAAGACATGAATATGACTGAGCTAGGGTTTTGCTTGCCTCCTTGACCCAGTAGTCTCAGATCAATGTCAGCTTCAGAATATCTAGTCTTTAAGGCTTTGCACCTGTGTTTCATAATGTTCACGCTGATAAGGTTTAAGTTACCTTTATACATATATTAATCAAGGGAATTGGAGAGAGAAATGGTGGGTTGTTGAAGAACCTACTAGAGGCATTCTGAGAGGTAAATTCAGCAAACCATGAATCAGGTGTAACCCCAGGTATCTATCCCTGAGGACAGGTCTCTAATTATTTGGTGAACTATTTTATTTATTAAACAGTTATTATTTATTTCTCTATATCTTAGCTATGGGAAATTGAGAAATTGAGTCACACTGAGAGAACATAATCATAAGGAATTGTGAAAGTATACATTGAGATTGACCTACCCTAAGGATTTGTCATGGAATTACCTGCAGATACCTATGGTTCTTTAAAAGTTTAGAGTGAAATGCTGTATCAACCAAAAATTTTATTATTACCCCATCTTCTCTTTAAAGTTATTTTGGTAAATTCTGGGTTTAGTTTCCTGCCACTTCACTTATAATAAGTAAAATACCATTCCATGTCAATATGTCTTAGTCATTTTTTATTCCTCTTTACACAATACACTCATGTTTTCTTGCATTATAGGGGTGGGCGGAAATAAGAGGGAAAGTACGTAACAAATAACATTTTGCTTTAATGTTCTCTTACCTTGTAATGCTTCATTTTTGATTTAAAATTAGTGCTTTCCATTGACAAGAATTTTCCATACAAAGAAGTTCTCTCGAGGAGTAGAATGTTATCAGGTTTCTAAATAAGCTTGATGTATTAATGCAATACAGGACTTTTGAACACGCGAGTCATAGAACTAATTCATGAACAACTTTCTAGTGTGTGAATCATCAGCAACTGTGAAGTTAATATAAAAGATTGTGATAGGCAATTTTGAGCTGATGTATACCGTACTTGAATAGAAAATACCAGAGTACATCACTTGAAGTATGAATATTATTTTAAGCAACTTCTCTTTTGGTGGTAGATTTATATATGAACACACATGCTGTGAGTTGTCATTAAAAAAATGACTTGGTGTGATGGTGAAGTGGAACAGCACACTTAGGCAAACACAATTGTTTTAGCCCCTCTGTAGTTCTCACCTAGTCTGAGTTTCAAGCCTGCTGCAGAGTCTCATAAATCTCACTGCAGCAGATCCACGAATTTTCGTAACTCTTTTCAGAGTCCTTCCAAAGCCTGGATAATGCAGAGAATCTCCTGTCATGGACAGGAAAAAAACATAGTTTAGCTTGTTTTTATTTTTCCTTTTTACAATCTACGCATTTAACAAAATTGCATTTGTACCTCAAATTTATACCAAAAAAAAAAAAATGCTTGTTTTTAAAGGGGCTACAGTTCCTGGTTTAGTTGTCATAAGTGGCAATTAATTTACAAAAAATTAAACTAGGTTATTTTTTCCCAGAATATCTACCTTCACTTAGAAAGAACTGGTTCAGTAGAACCCATGCCAATTTATAGAAAAGCATGTCAAAGCATATATTCATTTATAATTGGTAGCAATATTTTAATCTGAAAGAGGACAGTAGAGATCACCCAGGATTGTGAAACTATTAACTTAGAATATTATCTCCAAATATATCTTTGAAATATGGAGCATGAACTGGATATTCAGTACATCATGTGGTGGTAACTGTAGCTGGAAGACTTGTCTGGGACTAGTAATATCTTTAGGTTCACAGAAAATAGATCATTTGCTAATTCAGTGGAAGAGAACTAAATGTCCATTGGATTGTGTTTTTATATCATTAAATAATTTAAACATGCAGAAAAATATAGACAATAATATAAAGAACACCCTGTAGCTGTGTCAGATTTTAACACTTTGCTTCA